TGTGGTCTTGTCTGTTTCATGCTGGGCTCATTGTGTTTGAAGAGACTGGAAGGGACTTTATCTGGGTCTTCAGCCCCCAAAGGTAGGATCGTTAGGTTTAGAAAGTGTCTTGTCTCTTCTCCTACATGTTAAGTTTTATTTTTTTTTCCTTCTTATTTCCCGGTTAGGCTGTAGTTCTAAGGCTTGGTTCTGTCATTGCCCAGAATTATTATTCTCTTCTGGGTTTTTTTTTATTATCATTATTTGCTTATGAAAATGCTGTTATATTGCCTCAGGGAATTTCTTCTCCTTCAGAGAGGCCAATGTAATTACTGTGTTTCGAAGATGCTTCTGCCTTCGCACATGTATATATCACAAAATACACAAAATACACATTTCTAGGACACATGAAAACTTTTCCTAAAGAGAATCGTTGATAGATTTATACACCCACACATATATACGCATATATGTTTATGAGTGAGAAGTAAAATCAGAATTATCCAGGGTAGTGATTAGTATTGGAGGTTCTTAACAGAGCTTTTTGAAATGTTAATATTTTCAAAAAGGATCGATTTAGGACAGGTGTACATGTATGAGGTGAGGACTGTTGAACTCATTTCTGTTGTAAATGTCATTTTGGCTTTAGGGTTCATGCTGGCTTTGTTTATGGCTATATAATGCAGGCTTGGTGATTTTCAGGAAGGCGGCTAGTGAAAAGGACAGAAAGCATTTTGTTCCTTTCCTCCCCTATTAAGAGACTTACTTCTCTTCAAGTCAGTTCTCAGTGAGTTGTGTCCTGTGAGCCTTACAGAGTACGTAGCCATGAGCCTATACTAAAGGAATCGCTGTACTTATTAGCTGTTTGATTCTTGGAAACCCTCTCACAGTGTTTTAAAAAAAAAAAAAAAATATGTGAGTTGAAGATTGTAGAATTCTCGGGTGCAAAAGTGAGTTTGAATAGAAAGTTTTAATTTTTGTAGAATCTGCATGAATCCCCAAGGATCAGTAAGAGAGATTTTAATCCTCTGAAAAAATTGTACAGTGTAATGGAAAGATTACTGACCCAGAGTTTAGTTGGGTCTCTGCCATGCACTGGCCAGGTCTCCTTGACCCCATTGTATAGATGCTGTCTTGGTCTTTAAAAAAAAAAGAAGAAGAAGTTGGAGGGCCTCCTCCATAGAGATCCCAAGGAAAGAGGAAAGAGGCATCAGTCTCACACTCTTTTTTTTTTTTTTTTTTTTTTCGGCCATCCTGTCTGTTGTCTCCCTGATTTTTCCCTTTTCATTGACTTCTTCCTCTTAGCCGAGAAATGTACTCAATATTGTCCATCCTAAAAACATTAAATTAAAAGCCATTCCCTTGATCCAGAACCTTATTTTTTTTTTTACAAATAGTTTATTGTCAAATTAGTTTCCACATAACACCCAGTGTTCATCCCCACAAGTGCCCTCCTCCATGCCCATCCCCCCTCCCCCCCACATCCATCAGTCCTCAGTTTTTGTCAGCATTCAAGAGTCTCTCATGGTTTGCCTCTCTCCCTCGTTCCTCAGTTAAGTTCCTCCTAATCCTCCTATACGTGCAAACATATGATATTTGTCCTTCTCTGCCTGACTTATTTCGCTCAGCATAACACCCTCAAGGTCCATCCATGTTGCTACACATGGCCAGATTTCATTGTTTCTCATTGCCATGTAGTATTCCATGGTATAGATAAACCACATCTTTCAGCCTCACACTCTTAAAGCCTCACTAAAATGACAGGAGAGAGAGGGAGAGAGAGAGAGAATATGTATGTGCATCTGCGTGTGTGTGTGTGTGTGTGTGTGTGTGTGTGTGTTGAATGGCATAAACACTGAAGAATGAGGAGAAAAAAAAGAGTGAGCACAGCAAAAACATTTGGAAGTTGGAAAGCAGACTGACGTTGGCTCAACAGACCCAAGAATACTGACTGATAAGGCAGCTGCAGGGAAAGCCGATAACCACCCCAGAATCCCCCAGAAGCTCAGGAATTAGCAAAATCAAGTACTTTGGCAGATAAGAATAAAAGTGGCAGCTAAGATAAAGATAGGTTGAAAGCTATTTAAAAAGGAGTCAAGGGGCGCGTGGGTGGCTCAATCAGTTAAGCATCCGACTTCAGCCCAGGTCATGATCTCCCAGCTTGTGAGTTCGAGCCCCCACATCCGGCTCTGTGCTGACAGCTCAGAGCCTAGAGCCTGCTTTGGTTTCTGTATCTCCCTCTCTCTCCGCCCCTCCCCTACTTGCACTCAATCTCTCTCTCAAAAATAAACATTAAAAAAATTATTTTAAATAAATAAAAAGCAGCCAGATACCCAGATCCTTCCCCATCCTGGCAGAGAACTAGAGACTTGATAACCCTCAGAGGTGGTAAAACAGAGGCCCCTCAACTTGCGGGCACCTGCTTGGCTTAGGTGCCCTGTTCTCCTCCTGAGTCCCAGCATGCCGGTAGCAAGGACTGCACCATTCTGCCAGGAGATTAGCAGAGTTCTCTAGGGGCACCTGGCTGGCACAGTGGGTAAGCGCGTGCAACTCTTGATCTCAAGGTTGTGAGTTTGAGTCCCATGTTCGATATAAAGATTGCTTTCAAAAAAAAAAAATCTATATAAAAGAATAGAGTTCTCTGGGGAATCTGATTGGACCAAGAAGAAAGACCCTAAGATATTGACGCCAGAGGCTTCCAAACCAGACTGCTTACCAGAACTCTGTGCACTGAAGAACCTCAGTCCAAGCCCTTCTGGAAGATTCGCAGATGACCAAGGAGCACCGTGCTAGGGATCAAGAGGGATAAGCAGCAGCAAAACAGGCGAAGACAGGCCATGCTGGGAGAAGAAAGCTCAGAACACGCATCACGTTCTCAGGGGTGTGGGAAAGGGACTGCAAACACGGAAAAACGTATATTGTAAGAAACGGACACTCAGAAGTAAAAAGGACTTTTTAAAATAAAAAATAGCAGAAATGATGATTAAAAAGAAGGTCTGGGTAAAATGAGGAAATATTTTAGAAGGCAGAGCAGAAAAGTGGCAAGATGGAAAGTTAGACAGAAAAGGTGAGAGGGGCACCTGGGAGGCTCAGTCAATTAAGTGTCTGACTCCTGATTTCGGCTCAGGTCATGATCTCACAGTTCATGAGTTCGAACCCTGCATCGGGCTCTGCGCTGATAGTGCAGAGCCTGCCTGGGATTCAGAGCGGAGCCTGCTTGGGATTCTCTCTCCCTCGCTCTGCCCCTCTCCCACTCACACGTGCTCTCTAAGTAAATAAATAAACATTTAAAGCGGGGAGGCTCGCCTGGATGGCTCAGTCGGTTAAGTGTCTGACTTCAGCTCAGGTCATGATCTCACGGTTTGTGAGTTTGAGGCCCGCGTCGGGCTCTGTGCTGACAGCTCAGAGCCTGGAGCCTGCTTCGGATTCTGTGTCTCCCTCTCTTTCTGCCCCTCCCCTGCTCACGCTCTGTCTCTCACTCTCAAAAGTAAACATTAAAAATTAAAAAAAAAAAAAAAAGAAAAGAAAAGATAAGAAAATCAGAGGACCAGGAGGTCCAACATGTAACTCCTGTTTCCTGTTCTCCAGAAAGAGAGCGCAGAGTACAGAAGGGAGAGAACCATCACCACAATACTACCGCTTCCTGCCCCCACTTTCTGGAACAGGACATAAATTTCTACCCTGTAAAGGTCCACCAAATGGTCAACACAATGGGCGAGAACAGACCCCAAAGTAGAAATGTAAAATGTCCTGACCCCAGAAGAAGTTTATCACACTCTGGGAAAGAAATTCCCGGTCACCTTTACAGGGACCCGGACCTGGATGGGCTTCAGATTCAGCAGGCGAGGTGGAGTCAAGCAGGCAGTGGAGGGCACCTCCACCGTTCTCTGGGAGAAGAATTCCCAGCCCGGAATTCTGTAAGCCCAGCCCACCTATGCGTCAAGGGAGGGAGGATAAAAACAGATGTACAAGGCTTGAGGTCCACTTCATTCCCTCTGCTTAGGAAGCTATAGGAAGATGTGTTCCAGCGAGAAAGAGGGAGAAATTGAGCAGAGGAAGAGTGAGGTTTCACACCTGGTGAGAGGGGAAGGGAGACCCCAGGACCCACATCTCTAAAGCGGGGATGACGTCAGCCCAGACCGGAATGGGTTGGAAGGTGCGGGTGCAGGGCCGCCTTTGGGAAGATGGAGTTGAGGGAAGACCTGATGCTTGTGAATCTTAGGAGGGAATGTGGTGGCAAAGGACATGGTGTTGAGGTAGTCACAATGCCACGTGAAACTAAGCAACAGGGTCACCTGGTGGCTGAGTCGGTTAAGCGTCTGACTTTGACTCAGGTCATGATCTCATGGTTTGTGAGTTCGAGCCCCACACTGGGCTCCGTGCTGACAGTGCATTTGTTTAGTTCGAGCCCCGAGTCCAGCTTTGTGCTGACAGTGCAGAGCCTGCTTGGGATCCTCTCTCTCACCCTCTCTTTTTGCCCCTCCCCCACTCACTCGCTCTCTCTGTCCCTCTCTCAAAATAAATAAACTTTAAATTACAAAGGATTGTCTGAGCCACAGTGATCGAATATGTTGGGGGATGGGAGACTGAAAGGGGGGGCAGGGAGAGAAGAGAACAAAACCCCCAGACCTAAAATAGAAGCTCCTGGAATAGCCTCAGTGGAAGTGACACAATAATAGTTGTCTGAAAGAAGTGAAAGTAGTTCCTGTGGAGAAGAAAACATGGGAGGGGGGCACTGTTTCATTTTATTTTTATTTTTTTGATGTTATAGAATTCTCTGGGACAATGGGGTACATGTAAAACTGTAGTAACTAAGGATAGAAACACCAGTTAAAATAGTATCGTCTGAGTAACCTGTTTATTGATGTGTTCAGGTTTTTAGCTGCAGTAAAGAGCCAGCCCAGAGTCCCAATTCTGCCAAAAAAAAAAAAAAAAAGCTATCTAAGAAAACTACTTCTTTGGTAGGCCTCTGAGAATTGCAGAATTGAGGACATGTGTCTTTTTTTCCCCCACCTCTCTAGATTATCCTCTTGACTTGAACCACAGCGAAACCTTCCTACAAACCACAACGTTTCTTCCTGAAGACTTCACCTACTTTGCAAACCATACCTGCCCCGAGAGGCTCCCTTCTATGAGTGAGTAGAACTGCCCGGCTGTGCAGACTGATGGGGCTTTTTATCTGATTAAAAGTGAGAGTATTATTTTTTTTTTAATGTTTTATTTTTGAGAGGTGCAAGGAGGCGAGGGGAAGGGAGGGGGTGGAGGATCAGACATGGGCTCTGTGCTGACAGCGGCGAGCCCGATGTGGGGCTTGAACTCACAAACCGAGAGATCGTGACCTGAGCCAAAGTCAGACACTCACCTGACTGAGCCACCCAGGCGCCCCAAAATGAGACTATTATTGATCTCTCAGTACAGAGAAACATCTTCCTGCCATTGGAAACCGGGGATTAGGAAAGTTCCTTGTGTATTGACTCCTCGTCGACCCTTCTGCAAGGTTGCCTGTGTTCTTGGTACCATTTTCTCCCAAATTTTTCGCTCTTTCCTTTGCACATACCCCCTCCTTTGTGACTTGGGGTCTGTTAGGATGTCCTAGAGAAAGTACAGGCCACCAGCTTTATCTTTTGATATAAATCCCACGCTGATCATAACTAGTTTGATAGACAAAAGCTAACTTTCTTAAAGTGCTAGTTCAGAAGGATTCTGAGATCTTTCCTTTCTCTCCTTCATTCTTGGAATCTCATGGGTAAAAGCTAAAGCAACGGCACTGAGCCTTTGTGCCTTTTCCATACCTTTGGGCTTCTCATAAAGTTCCACATCTTCACTTAAGTCGGTGGAGATGAGTGTTATTTTTGTTTTTTAATGTTTGTTTCTTTTTGAGAGAGAGAGCGGGGCAGGAGCAGAGAGAGAGTGGGGGACAGAGGATCCAAAGCAGGCTGCGCACAGACAGCAGCGAGCCTGATGTGGGGCTCAAACTCACGAACTGCGAGATCGTGACCTGAGAGGAAGGTGGCCGTTCTGAGTTTGGGCGTGACCACTCGGCATCGCTGATGGGACCGTGCGTGGCTGCTCGCCTCAGGAGCACTCGAGAGCCTTCAGGCTCAGCCACCTCCTTCCTTCCTCTTTGAGACGTTCAGCTGCCATTCCACTCGGTCTTCACTTCTTTCCACTCCCTCGGCAGAGCCAAAGCTCTAAAGTCTTAACTTCTTGACTTACTGCTTTGCTGGTAATAGTGATGAAGTGAAATACAGGGGGCTGCAAAGCAGAGGAAGGGCCTCCCAGCGCAGCGAAAAATGCAGGCAGCTGACAAAGCATTAAACCTTTCTGGAGACTGAAACCCTGGACGTAATGGGGGAAACTTCTGTCACATTCTGGCCTCTTAATTCTTTTTCTCTCCCCCCTCTTCTCTGGTCAGAGGGCCCAATAGACATAAACATGAGTGAGATTGCAATGGACGACATCCATGAAATCTTCTCCAAAGACCCAGCCATCAAGCTTGGAGGTCACTGGAAGCCTTCGGATTGCCTGGCGCGGTGGAAGGTAGGCCATGAGGTCAGACCCAGAGCACTAGGAGGCCCACCTGACTTGCTCTCGTTCCCAGTCACCGTGGGATTCATGGACTGTGATAATCCATACTTTGCAGCCTACTGCCCAATGCAGAGTATCTGCAGTTGATGGAAACACTTTGAGGGCTTGGGTTTCCCTAGGGACACTGCAGCCCCAGAAATGTGCGTCGTCCCTAGGCCTGAGCGGGGCCCTTTGGTCTTCTTGGCTGAGCAAGGAGGAGGGTTGGGAGGTCTCTTGTGCCATGTGCAGAAGCCGTCTTCCCAAATTCGGGGCTGCACGCCTTCCTCGGCATCGTTCCTTGTAGTTTAGGGCGACCGAGAGTGGAGTTATCCTGCCCAACGTGGGGAATTGCTGATTGTTTTCCTGCACGGCTGTACTTAGGAGGCATCGGTGTGTGGATCTCACTTGTGATACCGGCCCAAGTCCATTCTTTCAACAAGTGTTTATTCAAGCGCTGCTTCTGTGCCGGCCCTGCAAGGAATGAGGCAGATCGGGAACAAATGGGCATTTCGAGCCCAAACCTGGGCAAAAAATCAGTTTAATGACCAGCGTTCGGAGACGAGATCTATATGTATATCTCCAGGTGCACTGCACATCCTAAGGGGAAGTTCTGCTCTGTGGAGCGGCTGCCTCTGTATCCAGGGACGTGTTTGTGCTACATGTCTTGGTGTAGAATGAGTGTCCTCCTCTGGGCTGTGACCTAGAGTGGACTCATTCAGCAGGTGCGCTGTGTGCACAGCGTGGTGCGTGTAAGGACAAAGCCCACTGACCTCCAAGGGTCCCCCTGCTAACATAGCTCTCTATGTAGCTCAGGCTGTGGACAGGGCAGCCTTCCAGAACGGCCCTAGAGCTGTTCACCCGACTCTGTAGCAGTTGCTGTCCTGCTACAGAGCACAGGTGGAGGGCACTCACGGGGCGGCTTCTCTCGCTGTGACCCCCCCAGGTGGCGATCCTCATCCCTTTCCGGAACCGCCACGAGCACCTGCCAGTCCTCCTGCGACACCTGATCCCCATGCTACAGCGCCAGCGCCTGCGGTTTGCATTTTATGTGGTGGAGCAGGTGAGTGGCCCAGCCTTCTCTCTCTCCCTGCTCTGACGCAGTACTGTTGGAGTCCACCTTTGGGGTGCAGAGCCATGAAATAGAAGTCTTACAACTGAGCCACCCAGAGGTGAAAGGGAGAGCAGAGAGCAATTTCGGTTTGGGATGTCACTCAATACCGGCCCACTTGAGTCCCAGAGGGAACTTCATTTGCCCTTCAACAAAGGCCCCTTGTGCGAGGGTTTAGTCAGAGCTGCTTGGGCAGTGTCTTCAGGCTCTAGACCCAGGAAATTCCCCTTAAGATAAGGAGCCGTGAGAAGAAATGGCTGTATTGTTCTTTCTTCCCTTTATGGGGCTTCCAAATGCCGTTATGGGTTGACTGTCTGCTTTTATGACAGTCTTGGGAGAGAGTTATCACCACTCTTATTTCTAAGGAAATCGAGGCGAGGTGTCGAGTGGCTTGTGAGGCAGTGGTGAGCGTGCTGGCCGAGCCCACCTCCGGCCCAGTGGCCCCTTCCCGTTGGGTTCCGCATGCGCTCCTTCAGGCAGGGCTGGGGCAGCCAAGAGTTTGCTCCACGAGTCCTTTTAAAAATAAAGTCCTACTTCTTTTAGGTTGGCACCCAGCCTTTTAATCGAGCCATGCTTTTCAACGTCGGTTTTCAAGAAGCAATGAAGGATCTGGACTGGGACTGTCTTATTTTTCATGACGTGGATCACATACCAGAAAGCGATCGGAACTACTATGGATGCGGGCAGATGCCAAGGCACTTTGCGACCAAGTTGGACAAGTATATGTACCTGTGAGTATCCCATCCCCTGGAAGAGGTCAAATCTAGAGGGAAGCTGTTGTAAAGATGAGTTAGCTCCACCCCAGCGGGCACTGGCCGCCGAATGGAGAAACAGAATGTAGTGTGGCCACAGCATGGAACACTACTAGGCAGTAAAAAGGAACGGAGTCCTGGCACGTGCACCCAGGCGGATGAACCTTGAAAGCGCTGCCGCGTGACCGAAGCCGGTTACCGGAGGCCACGTGTTGGCCTGATTGTACTTCCATGACTTGCCCAGGATGAGGCAAATCCACAGAGACAGAAAGGACAGTGGTGGCGTCGGGTTGAGGGGAGGAGGAGGAACAGAGAGTGGCCACTGATGGGTGCAAGGCTTCCTTTTTTGGGGTGGCGGAAGGTGTTAGAATGGATGGGGGGTCACAGTTGCACGACTCCGTGAATATCCTAAAAACGAAATTGTGCACTTTAAATGGGTGCGTGATACAGAGCGCCAATTATGTGTCAATAAAGTTGTTAGGAGAAAACCAATGAGAGAAAGATGCAGTTAGCTACCAAAGGTGGCGCGCCTCGGCACGAGGGAGTGGGTGCAGGTGAGTCAGAGCAGCAGCGCAGAGGGCGCTGTTCCATGTGGCACGCGGTTCTCCGGTGAGGTGGCGGCCCGTCCTGGGGACAAACCACCCATTGGTGCAGATGATTGAAGCTGTACGTCTCCTTCCAGGCTTCCTTACACCGAGTTCTTTGGTGGAGTGAGCGGCCTGACTGTGGAACAGTTTCGGAAGATCAATGGCTTCCCAAACGCTTTCTGGGGTTGGGGTGGAGAAGATGACGACTTGTGGAACAGGTATCCCCTTTTCCAGTTTCCAGTGCCTTCTAGAAATGCTACCTTAGGCTCCCCAGACAAGCGCCATGCAGGAGGCGTAGGGTGCAAGCCATGGACGTAATGTGAAGTCTTCTAGTGGCCACGTTTAAAAGGGTTAAAAAAGAAAGAGATGTGAAGTTAATTTTAATGTATTATATTAATAAAACGTGTTAACAATATATCATATCAAAAATAATATCCTTCCAACATATAGTCAATATAATATATTAATGAGATACTTCACTTTTATTTTCCTCTATCTTTGAAATCTGGTATATATTTTTACCTTCCCAGCACATTTCACTGAAACCTCCCCAAACCAGAGGTCATGTATTGGCGGTAACGTGTGCACACATTTATCCATACCATCAGATAAGGCTTGTATTCTACAAGTTTGGGTGAACGATGCTATATTTGAGTAGTGTAAACTAATCTTTTTACAGAGTAAGTAAATAGTAACCTAGTAAGGAACAAATAAGCAAAAGAATTTCTACCTTCTATCTGTTTACTTTCTAGATTGGTTTTAAAAAAAGAAAGCTGTGTGTTGCTTTTTAATCACAAAGTAATACTTGCCAGTAAAAATTCAGGTACTACAAATGTGCATAACCAAAGAGTAATTCTTAATCCCCACCGCTGGCCTATTTCATTCCCAGGAAGTAGCCATTTCAACAGGCTATTACTTCTTTCTTTACTTCTTTTTGTTCCTACATAAATAACCCAGACCCATCCCTTCTCCCCTCCCAACCAAATTAATACAGAGAGAGCCACTTCATTATTTTCAGCAATGGCATGGTATTCCTTTACGTAGATACATGAGCCTTTATTTGAACCCTCTCCTATCGATGAACATTGTTTGCAGTTTTAAATATCCTTGTTCATGCGTGCAGACACTTCTTTAGAATAAATTCCTAGTTGTGGGACTGCAGAGGGTAGTAAATTGCTCTTTTGAATTTGGATAGTTATCGCCAGGTCCAGAAGAGATTGCAGAAAGATCCCGAGCAGTGGTGCATCAGTGTGCCTGTTGTCTTCCATCACAGCCAACGTTGGTTATGAACAACCTTTTACATTTTGCCACATTTCGACCCTGCAGCAGCCACATGCAGCTCACGGCTGCTGTACCGGACAAAGGAGCTCCAGAAAATTCTTTCTTGGTCTGAGAGCTAAAAATGGCCTCTCATCCTTTTAATTAATTTGGGTTTCTTAGGAACCTAATAAGGATGAACCAAGGCTGTGCCACAAACCTCCCGGTTTGACTGGCCCTTGAATCCAGTTGCACTCTCCCAGGACACCTGTCCGAATTCTCCGCTGGCACTGTCCCCAGGTCAGCAAGAGCCCTTCAGGCACAGGATCTGGGACAGGATCCCCTCAGTGCCCCGCACAATTCCGGGCACACAGTAGGCACTTTATGTGTATTTGTTAAATCAGCGTAAGAACGCACTTTCCTGTATCAAAAGGAGAATGTAATTTGGAGTCAAGAGGAGGGTGTTGAAATAATGTTCTCCCACAATTTTAACATCTGGAGACAACCATAAATTTCACATAGGTCTCCAAAGTCTGCCTCCATGTCTTACACGTTACATCTTACAGCCCTTCTCAAGTTCCCAGTAAACCCAGCTTGCAAACTCCTATCTTTACCGTATTAAAGATAAATAACCGAATACCTCCTTAAATTCTGCTTTCCCCATAGTGTTGTGACGTTTCACATCTAGATCAGAAGATGTCCTACAAATGAGTTCACCTCCGTGGTGACGGGGGAGCTGGGCAGAGTAATTAAGTTCACAGCCAGGAAGGCACAGTGCTACTCGCACTTGCCTGACTTGCGTTACAGCAGATTGTGGGAAGGAAAAGTGTGTTGTCCACCAGTGAGAAAGATAGTGTCAACAGGACCCGAAGAAGCCAGCCGAGGGGGCGTGTGCACTCGCCCCGCCGGGGACGCTCACTGTTGTCTGTCCCCAGGAACCTGGCGGCACACCTCGCTCGCTGTCGAGAATTTTACATTTCTTTTCTTTTTCAAAACTTGTTTTGTATTGTAGACCTCTTGTCTACAGCCATGCGCTTATCCAGAGGGTAGGCGATCGAATATTTAGATGCAGAAGTTCTGTGGTTCATCTTGGGGTTTCTCCAGCTCGGCATAGATGTGGACACCTGTGGACCTGGACCATTCGGTCTAAACGCCCATTCCCTTTGTCTTGGACAGAGTACAGAACGCGGGCTACACTGTGAGCCGGCCGGAAGGCGACACCGGCAAGTACAAGTCTATCCCTCACCACCATCGAGGAGAAGTCCAGTTTCTTGGAAGGTTGGTGCAATTTATTTATCCTTCTTACAAATACCTTGTGTAATGGCATTTCCAGACATCCAGGAGCACTTGGAAACCCCGTGTCTTCCTCCCCAGCTCCTCTCCAAGGTCCCATTCTGACGGCTGTTGAATAGACAGCCTGGGTAGGTGTTCATTTACCCGTGAGGCGGGCGCTTGTGTGAAATCAGGTTATCGGTGAAGAACTTGATCGTAGATCTTTCAAGGAAATCACCCACTTGGCATCTTAAGGCTCACGGTCTCCTCTGTAGTCATCGGGGGGTTAGAGAAAAGCCCACTCCCGTTAAAGGCCTCTGTGGGACGTACCCCACACGACAAAGCAGACTTGGTGCCCTTCCTGCCAGGAGCTCTGGTTCCGGAAGGGTGACCCCTGAGCTTCCCGTTCGCACTTGCTTTGTTACCACCTTTACTTTTGATAAGGAAGTTCTGCACTGGACTGATTGGGGCGTGTAGCTGGAGGGTCGGCTCCACCTTTTCAAGAGTGGCTTTTTGTCCCGTTCACTGGGAGGGGCCTGTTCTCTAGACCATCAGTTCCCACCACGTGAACTCTGTTGTCAGAGAGTAGGAAGGCTCCGAATGCAGACCCCGACCTTTCTCTGATGGATTTTTAGTATCTTCCCTGCCGCTTCCCTGCCCCATGACTTGACCCTCGGCAAGTAATTTAACACCATGAGCCCTGGCTTCCCCTGTTGCGTACGGGGCGGGTGCGTTAAGTGAGATCTACCATAAAGAAAGCACGTGGCACAAAGTAGGTGTTTGTAATCCTAACACCTGGCGTGGAGCCGCCGCACCGGTGGGCCAGTCCCCCGCCGGGGGATGCGGGGTTAGTCCCTGGGCTGCGTCCCCTCCCGCGGTCTGTCCCGCACCATCCTCGGCCGTGAGGAGGCGGGCCCCCCACTCAGAGCCGCCCCTCTGCCCTCTGCTTCAACAGGTATGCTCTGCTGAGGAAGTCCAAAGAACGGCAAGGGCTGGACGGCCTCAACAACTTGAACTACTTTGCAAACATCACATACGACGCCTTGTATAAAAACATTACCGTCAACTTAACACCCGAGCTGGCTCAGGTGAGCGAGTACTGAGAGGGGGGAGCAGGGGACGTGCTTCGCCCGCCGCCGCCCAGGAAGCAGCCCGCTGTGCTGTCTCGGCGGGAAGAGAATAGAAACACGGTGTCTGATGAAGGGTCACAGGGTTCGAGGAGGAAAACAAACTGTGAACAGTGTCCACGCACAAAACGCCTTCACTGTGGCTTGGGAGCTTCCTTCATGAGGACTGGCTTTCTGTTTCCACAAGACGGACGTGTGTCCTGCTGCTCTGCTGCGCCCCGTCTCAGCCAGGAGCTCCGCGCCCGGACCCCAGGGCCACCACGGTCCCGCCGCGCAGCCCGTTCCCACCAATGGCCTTTGGAGTTTCCCAGCCTTCAGAGCAAAGAGGCAGCCCCACCAGCGGGCCGCCGCGTTGTAGGAAGAGCAAATGAAACCACACACCATTCTTCTCCATCTCTGGTGTTCTCCTTGGTTTCATTTTTTTTTTTTTAAAGAAAAACAATTAATAAATAAATTACCTGCTTCGGGTGGGGATTGAGGGTGGGGGGGCGGGGTTGGGGAAGATAAATAGACCTATAACAATCACTTCTTGAAGAAGTATAATTGTAAATAAGCCATGTAAAATGCCTTTTTAAAATTTAATTTTATAGCTGGCTCCAATTCGACCCGAGGGTTTCCACATCAGCTCCCTTACTTGGTTGGCCGGTGCAGGACCTCCGTTAAAAACGCAGGGGGAGCGGAAGTCTTTCCGTCCCCTCCCAAATAGCTGTCACTTTGGAAGGGAGAGGGTACCGGGCGTGTCACCAACAGAATGAGGCGGTGCAGTCTGTCACTGGTAGCTACTCCTGCCCCCTTCCATCCTCTTCTTCGGAAAGTCTTTGCTCTTGACTTTTGCTGTGGACACGCACACCCTCATCCATGTCCTGCTAAATAGGAGACCCCGGGGCAGGGCAGGGCGGGGGTGGGGGTGGGGGAGCCCTCCTGCACACGCGCCCCTGGATTTGTGGACTTCAGTTTTTGTCCTTTCATCACTGAGACAGGTGGGGGGGGAGGGTTGCTGCCTTTTCTTTTTTGCCCCTTGTTTTCCTTTTTTTTTCTTTTCTTTTCCTTTTTTTTCCCCCCTCTTGTGGAACTTGGCCACAATTCCTGAAATCTGTGCCTCAATTACTAACTAGCTTCAGTGATTCCTCTGAAAATTTCCCTGTGTAGGTTTCCGGAAAGATTGTCAACATTATGAAGTAGCACATAGAAATAACGAGCAATGGAATGAAGGATTCAGCTAGGGAGCAGGGGACACTTGTGTGCCGCAGGTCAGCTGGGGCCCACGGTTAGCCCCGATCCGAGCTTTGCACGCCAGATAACAGCTCCGGGACGCAGGCGCCCAAGCCCACGCGCTGCGCTCACACCCCACGCACTTCTTGGAGGTAGATTCTAAATTGCCCTCCAAGTCGTGCCTGTTTTCCCCTGAGCCAGATCCCTCAGTTCAGAGTTCCTGTTGGCTTCTGCAGGATTCTGAAAAATGCCAGTCTTTTCCCCTCTCCTTTTCCATGAAACATATTTATATAATCGTGATTAGGAGTACTTCCTGCAGAGTACTTCATATTTTTTTTAATTGCCTTGTTTGCCTTCAACTTTCTTAATTTTCATGGTTTACATGGATGTGTGTGTAGGGGGGTGTATTTGTGTATATGCGTGCGGGTTGGGGTTTTCTCCGTTGCACGTGTTGGTTTCATGGACATATGACCCCCACGAGCTGTGGGAGTGATCGGCCAGGCCTTGTTTTTTGTTCTTGCTTTTTTGTTGTTCTTTTGAAGAATAGAATGGAATATAGAAAACAAATAGCATTAAAAAGCTCTTATCAGCTCATATGAGAGAGCAGGCAGCTGCCCTTGAAAATGCTGGTAAGTTGTATCCTAGGTTTTAAAAGAATGTTGAGCATCTCATCCTTTGAAAGACCTTCACGGGGGAGCGTTACACACAGGAGCTCACTTGGTTTTCCTTTTTGAAGTCTGGTGCGTAGAGCAATAAAGATTTCTCCCGCCCCCCATCCCCTCCAGGCCCGTGTTGCCGGCCTTGACCCTCCTGGTCCTTCCTGGTCCCCTTTCGTCACTGAAGGCCATGAGCTGCTCTCCGCGTGGCACAACCACGTGATGTCATTTGGAAGAACTTGCCGGCTCACGCTGATCCTTGGTTAAGGACGATGCGTGTGTGGCCAGCAGCGCTGTAACACGGCCTGTTCGAAGCTTGCCACGAACATCTTTGCCGCCGAGAATGAAATGTTGGCAAAGATTTCAAAACCTGGTTTTGAAAAGAAAGTGCTGATTTGAGGACAAAGGGAGAGGTCTCTTTTCACTGCTTGAAGGAAGGTCACTGAAATTATTCAACGTGTGAGTTTGTCCTCTAAGCGTGAAATCTCTCACTGTGTCCTGCTTAGTCGTTTACCCACCAAGCTGAGTACCGAGCGGGAAGTGTAAAAGGTAATTTACAACCAGGCCCGTGAGCTGTTAATCGTGGAAGAGTCTCTTGTTAAAAACAAAAAAACAAGAACCAAATGTGACCTTGTGTGTATTTTGGCAGCTGAAATTCTTTAAGGCTACTGATGGGCGACCCCTTAAATCAGTCTCGTCTCTGATTGCTGCGTGCAGGGAAAGGTTTTTCCTCTCACGTGGCTTTTCTGGGGGAGGAGTTATTGCAAAAATATTCCTTTTGACGTTACAGGGACTGTTTCCTTGCAGCTCCTCTGCCACAGACATTAATGGCTGAGCAACAGCCACGTGTACTGATTGTGTCCTCTCACCATTGACCATGGCATTGAGCGTAGCTAGCTAGCATCCTTCCATCACTACATTTTTTTTTTGAGCTTGCTCTTATGTTTCAAGAGGTGCCAGGGGTACATTTTTGCACTGAAATCTAAAGATGTTTTAAAAACACTTTTCACAAAAATAGTCCTTTGTCATTACATTATTTACTCATGTGTTTGTACATTTTTGTATGTTAATTTATGAATGATTTTTTCAGTAAAAAATACATATTCAAGAACCAAACCTTGGTGGTCCTCTGTCTTTGCCTAGAACAGTTTGGCTCCTCGGGGGCCTTTCTTCTCTTCTTCTCATGGGAGTTCAGCTCCCGCGTGCTCCTTCAAGCCACTTGACTCCCACGGTGCTCGGCCGACCTCTGGGCTCTCCCTGGAGACAGACGTGCCTGCCTGACCCCCGCCACCAGGCCGCTGAGCAGAAAACCTCAGCCGTTGTAGCAAAAGTGCCGAAGCCCCACCGTGCCATCCAGGCATTCCTCCTACACTGTCTTCCAGAATTGGCCCAGGTGATGCCCATCGAGTAGAGCAAGGCACCTGGGCACGGAGGGGATGCACATTGATGGAGTCCGGATCCAGAAGGTCCTCGGGCCAGTCCGGAGTTTGCTGTCTGCCTGGTTCTGCTTGGAGACTGTAATCATAGCTTCTGTTTGTTGAGTGTTTCCCACTGGCTGATATTTATGGAGTGTAAAGTTCCTGCCCAGGTGCTAGGAATATAATGATTAGCAAAAAGGATGTGGTCAGTGGCCTCCTAAAGCTTGTTCTCTTGTCCCCTCCCCGCCCCCCTGCCCCTGTGGAGGGTGTGATTAAAATGAACAACCACAAGGAGTGTTACAAAGGACATGAGCACAAGGTGTGGAAGGGGTCCCTGCAGGGATGTTGATGAGCAGAGAGGAGACCAGCGGCGGCTGCCCCAGGGACTGCTAGGCTGGGAGGTGGATGAAACTTGGAAGGTAAGGAGGTTGGGTTTTATCCTTAGAGCGATGGCCTCAAGAGTTCCCAGCAGGTAGAGCTGTGTGTGATGTCATTAGTAATTTTACTTATTTTTTTAAAGTTTGAGAGCCAGAGAGAGCATGAGCAGGGGAGGGGCAGGGAGAGAGGGGAGCGAGAATCTCAAGCAGCCTCTGCACTGCCAGTGTGGAGCCTGACATGGGGCTCGAACTCAAGAACGATGAGATCATGCCCTGGGCTGAAGTCAGATGCTTAAACTGAGCCATCCAGGCGCCCCTCAATAGTAATTTTAATAGATGGTCCTGGCTGCAGGGAAAGTGGGTGCTCTAGAGAAGCAAAGGAGGAGGGGGACCAGGTGAGTGCACACGGTCATGCAGGGACAGTATGGAGGAGAGGGGCGGGGGGGGTAGCTGGGGGGACATGACCTGCCTACCGATTGCTGGGGGAGTGGCGGGGGGGGGGGTGGGGGACATGACCTGCACACGGATTGCTGGGGGAGGGGGTAGCCGGGGGGACATGACCTGCACAGGATTGCTGGGGGAGGCGGTAGCCGGGGGACATGACCTGCACACGGATTGCTGGGGGAGGGGGTAGCCGGGGGACATGACCTGCACACGGATTGCTGGGGAGGGGGGTAGCCGGGGGGACATGACCTGCACACGGATTGCTGGGGGAATGCATCTAGCTTCCAGCTTCCCCACCAGGTAGAGGGCAAGGCCACCCCCTGGAACGAGGGCCCTGGAATTGGACCAGGTTCACGGGAAAGACCACAGACCAGTTGCGAGCATGTGGGGTCCGGGGGGTTTTGAGACCACCAAGCGGAAAAGGCCAACCAGCCGCGGTACGTGTTCCGGCGTGGGGACTCCAGAGCGCGGCGGGGACCAGGGTGCATCGGCGGCTCAGGTGTGGGAGACGCGCGCGGGTCCGGGAGCGGAGCGGACGGAGAAGGTGGCCTGGCCCAAGTCCCGTTGGTCAGGGCGGAGAAGAGGGCGAGCGAGCCGCGCAGGCGCAGAGGCGCGGCAGCCAGCGGGGCGGGGGGCGGAGTCGGGGGAAGAGAGGGCCGAGGGGCGTGGTCAGCGGAGACCCGACGCAAGGCGGGGCCTGAGACTCACGCGGAGCAGAGGGGGACGAGGAGGCGGTGCGCGGCGACGCCCCGGGGAGCGGCCGCGGGTGCAGGCGTGTCTCGGGTCCCGCGTGAAGGGGTAAAGGGCTGAGGGAAGCGGTGAGGCTCGAGGAGCGTTTGGATTTTGGTTTTGGTTTTCCAGCAAGAGAAACTGGAGTGTGTGTTTGAACCAGAAACAGAGCTGAGCGTCCGAGGCGCAGGGGCTAATTTAGAGGAATTAGGACCCTTCGTGGTCAGGTCCAGTCGGCGGGCAGAAACACCCCGGGAAGACCCTTACGGCTTTAAAAGAAAGAAAAATCAAGGTTCCTCTCCAGTTAAGTCATCAGCATTGGAATTAGGCAGAGTTGATTCCTGGTAATTACACTTCCTCCCCACTCAAAAAAAAATTTTTTTTTAATTTGGGGGAAGTACAGCCCTAAAAATGGTAGTTCCCATTTATTGATGCCTGTCCTGTGCCAGGGGCTGTACCAAGGCAGCACACTGGACACGGTGAGTCCTCAGCCTCCTGGGGGAGACCGTCCCTCTTCCCAGAGCAAGATTTCTCAACCCTCGGCTTTTAACACTGGGGACTGGGGCTGGGGTCGATCTTCCTGCAGGGATGGGGTGGGGGCGGCCTGGCCATGCTCTTGTGCGCTGCAGGGTATTTAGCTGCATCCTTGGCTTCTACCCTCTACCGGCCAGTAGCAGCACCCCGTCCTCCCCGGCTGGGAGAACCAAAATTGTCACCAGTCATTGCCAAATGACCCCGGGGAGAGCGAAATCCCTTGGCAGCCCCGCTGCTCTAGCGCTGGGGAAGGGAAACCACCAAAAACCACTGCTCACTTGAGGTCCTAAAACTAGCAATGCGGAGATAGCCAGGATTTGAACACGGGGCCATTTTTACCCCCAGGTAAATGCTCTGAACCTCTATGCTACTTCTGGCCCAACCTCTTTTTGTATATGTGCTCTTAATAGCTCTGTTTACAGGCACAGTTCACAGATATTGTTTTTTTAATTTTTAATGTTTTTATTTATTTTTGAGAGAGAAACAGACAGAACAGGATCAGGGGAGGGGCAGAGAGACACAGAATCCGAAGCAGGCTCCAGGCTCCAAGCTGTCAGCACAGAGCCCGATGCGGGGCTCGAACCCACGAACTGTGAGATCATGACCTGAGCCCAAGTTGGACACTTAACCAACTAAGCCACCCAGGGGTCCCTAAGTATTTTTATTAATAAAAAGGCATGAGTATGTGCTCACTGAAAAAGTTTTAAATCTCTCCCCCTTGAATGGTAGCAGTTTGGCTGGTGTCCTTATTGATGCCTTTCTACCTACACGTATGTACAGAGAGGTAAAGACATGTATACTTAGGGAAACAACATAAATTGTCTTGTAATTACTTTTGGGTTTTTATCCTACTATTTCTTAGAGATCTCTCTGTGATGGAAAAGCTTCCTCCAGTAAAGCTCAATGTCCCCTCCTCGGAGAGGCATTGTGTGAGCACCAGGCTAAAATGGTGCATTCTCTGGTCTCCTTCATTTTCTTCTGCAAGACCTCTTACTCTGAATCCCATATTTTTCTTGGTTCTTTGCTCATTAACTGTCAACCCCACTAATGTAGTCCCTGTGAACATAGAGACTACTTTGTTCTTGCTCTATCCTTTGTGCCAAGAACTGGCCCCAGCACATAGTAGGTGCTCATTAAATCTTTGTTGAACAAAACTGTCTTCTTCCTTTAATTGGCCACATGTAGTAACCCCTGTATGGACCGATGTCATTTATTTAGTCCTTTACCTCAGGATGGACATGGACGTTTTCGGTTTTCCACTGTCACGTTACATGCCCCACAGTGAACACGGCTATGTGTAAATCCGTATGCACGGACATAAGCAGGTCACCTGGAGCCTCAGAATTGAGGGGGGATGGTGTTCGATGATAGTACAATGGTATTTTTGCAAGATGAAGAAGCTCTGGAAATTGGCCGCACGTCTCTGTGAATACACCTAGTGCTCTGAACTGGACGTGTAAAAGTGGGTAATGGTTACTTTTACATTATGCATATTTTTACCACAATTTAAAAAATGATAAAATTCTACTTATTAACCTTGTCTAATAGGAGCTTCCATTATCTCCACTTTTTTTCTTACTGTTATTTTTGAAAGAGAGAGACAGACCATGAGTGGTGGAGGGGCAGAGAGAGGGAGACACAGAACCCAAAGCGGGCTCCAGGCTCCGAGCTGTCAACACAGAGCCCGACGCAGGGCTCGAACTCACGACCTCTGAGATTATGACCTGAGCTGAAGTCGGATGCTCAACCGACTGAGCCCCCTGGGCACCCCTCCATTATCTCCACTTAACGTCCTGGTACCTAACTTAAATATTTGTTGAATTAATTTGTAAATTTTTTAAAAATCTGTTTTGCCTCTATGCTGTCTGGTGACGCGTTCGGGCGGAATGACAGGCACAGCAAAACGCCGTGTCCCACGTTGCCCTAAATCTCCAGAAACTCCCTCTTTGATCCTGTGAAAGTGCAGTCCCGTGTTCTCATCGGCCGTCCTTCCTGTGCCGTGACCTTTCCGCACTCATCAGCCCGGCTCCTCCGTGTTTCTGTGGACACTGTCCCTGCTCCGTCACTCCCTTTTCCTTTACGTCGACAGAGCCTCAGTTGTCTGTCTTCTCGTGTTGGTGGTTTGATTCCCTTCCATGGTCTGGCTCTCACGCGTTACATGGTAGTGAACCAGCCAGGACGTGTGTTTGTTTTACGTTTCCTGGACTCCTTCCTCATCCTGTGACCCGCCCCCCTCACCATTCATTTTTCTAGATGTTTGTAGCCTCACTCGGGGGCTAGCAACCTACGGGCAGCCGGCTGCCTGTCTTTGTAAATAAAACTGGACTGAAACACGGCCGTGCCCGTCTGTTTACGAGTTGATCATGGCTCCCTGCCTTGGGATGGCAGAACCGAGCCATTGTGACGACTACATGTGGCCCCCACGTCTAAAATGTTTACTATCGGGGCCTGGGTGGCTCAGTCGGTTAAGCGTCTGACTTCCACTCAGGGTGTGATCTCGCGGTTCGTGGGTTCCAGCCCCGCATCGGATTCGCTGATGTCAGCATGGAGCCCGCTTCCACCCTCTGTCCCCCGCCTCTTTGCTTCTCTCCCACTTGCTGTCTCTCAAAAATAA